GTGGTGCCCTGCCGTGCGTCAGCACCCGCAGGCCAGTGCCCCAGGGGACCACAGGGAGCAGAGCCAGCATCTGCTGGGCTTGGGGCTGATGACACCCGTTCGCATCCACCCTGTGGCCCTGGTCCATACATGCTAGGACCGACCAGCGAGGTAAGCCTCAGTTAGACACTCTGGGCTTCCTGATGCTGGAGAAAAAGTCACTTGGGCAGAGTTTGAGCCCTGAAGAAGAGCATGACCCCCAGCCCTGTGATCCTCTCGTGCAGCCCCTGCAAGTGTCCCTGGCACGGTACGCTGCCTGCTGCTTCTGGAAAATGAGCAGGCACAGGGGATTCTCTTGTCGCTTAGCTGACTCATGGGGACTTCCAGAGCTTTAGTAGCTTGACCATGTGCCTGAGCCAAGCAAGCACTTGGGATTGCTCAACTCCTGGAGCTAGGTGGGAGCTTCCTGGGGCTGTGCACAGCCAGGCACTGGAGGGGGGATAGGTCAAAGGATAAGATCCTGGAAAGGCCCTGAAACACCAGCTGGTTTCCAGTTAAGCACAGTCAGACAGCAAGGGACTTGTTGCCTTAGTCATAGCCAAGTGCCTAACGTTTGCTTTTGTGGTGACCTTAAGACCACCCCTTTCCTCAGAGCAGCACAGACAGGCCATGGGACACTCACCCGGGAAAGATTTCTGCTTGCACTTACCTGAGGTGCTACCTGGGATAACGGGGTCTGCGCTTACCCCTTTGCAGCTCCCACTGGTGCAGCAGCCTGGCTAAGTGAAGCCAGATAGGGATGCTGGGAGCTGCCCTCAGACGGGTCTTTGTGGCAGGTGGAACCACGGTGGCTAACGGGGACCTTCTCGACCTGCCTGTTGCGGTCATGCTGAAGGCAACACCAGGCAGCGGACAGTGTTTGCCTCAGCTTTTGGCACTGTCTTCCATAGCTTCCTCGTAGATGAGATGAGAAAGTCAGGGTTAGGTAAGTGAACAGTGAGGTGGGTTGAAAACTGGCTGAATGGAGGGCTATGACCTGTGGCACAAAGTCCAGCTGGAGGCCAGTCACTGGTGGTGCATCCCGAGGGTGGGTACTGGGGACAGTTCTGTTTATAATGACCTGGACGATGGGACAGAGTGCACCCTCAGCAAGTTTGCAATTGGTGCAGAGCTGGGAGGAGCGGCTGGTAACACCGAAGGGTCATGCTGCCGTCCTGACGGACCTGGACAGGCTGGAGAGATGGGCTGAGAGGGACCTTGTGCGGTTCGGCAAGGAGAACTGCCGAGTCCTGTCCCTGGGGAGGATGAACCCCAGGCACCAGGACACACCAGGGCTACCCTGGTCAACACCAAGCTGACCACGAGCCAGCAACGTGCCCTTGCGGCAAAGGTGGCCAACAGTGTCCTGGGCTGCGTTAGGAGGAGTATCACCGCGGGTCGAGGGAGGGGATCCTTCCCCTCTGCTCGGCACTACTGAGGCCACACCTGCAGTGCAATGGCCGGTGTTTTGACTGCTAGCCCAGGCTGGCGTGCATGGCCAGACAAGGAGATGAACCCTAGTCCCCCTCAAACAACCTGCCTGTCATTTTCCAGATCTGTAGACCATGCTCAGGCTCTCCATCCCACTGCCTGAGGAACAAACACACCTCAAATGAGCCACTTTGTCCTTGTCACTGTTCTCCCCATTCAACCCAGACCTTATGCTGATGGATTTTAACCTGGCTGACAGTGCAGCTGGCTTTGTGGCTGATAGCAAGCGTCTAGCAGGACTCCAGCCATCCAGAAACCTGAACCAAGCTCTGTCTGCACCAGGGGAAGGAGCAAGCCACCATCAGAAAGCAGCTCACAGCAAGGGTGAGTTCCAGAGCTCAAGGTGAAGTGGACTCAAGGATGGGGCTGGTGGGGGCACACGTGGAGGGAGGCAGGCACCGGGATGCTCTTGAAGAGGTGAAGGGCTGCATCCAGGACAAAGGAGTGCTGCAGGTTAGGTGCCCTCAGGGGAGCAGGGAGAGAAGCAGGCGATGGTGCTGTGTCCCCTATCTCCTGATTTATCTTCCCTTGGCTCCTGCCCCTGATGCTGGACCCATAGCCCCTGCATGCTCATGGCATCTCATTTTTTTCTTCAGGAAATAAAAGCACTTTCCAGGAGGATGTCCCTGACCGCTTGGTGAGTAGGGGTACCTCTCTGGCCTAGGGGAGGGCAGCCCAGGGAGACGCTGCTGGGCAGGGGACTCCCAGGGGCCAGCTCCCCACAAGGTTCCAGCAAACCCCATCCCTGTTGCCAGTAAATGGGGGCGGAGGCAGTCCTGCTGGGGTGCTGACACTGCTTCCTTCCCTGGTCCAGCAGTGAGGGGAAGGGGTTTTGGGGCTGGTTTAGCCAGACGGGCACTGCACACACTTGACGGGGTTGCTGTGCCATGGCAGGTGGAAGACCTTGATGCAGTCCTCTGGAAGATGATGGCAATGAGTGAGCTCCAGAGCCAGGGATTCACCCAGACAGACCAGGCCCCTCAACAATCCAGCAAGAGAGGTTAGTGCCCAGCTCCCAACGGGTCCGAGGACCCAACCCATCACTGACCGGCAAAGAGGCCATGGCAAGCAGGAGCTGAGCTTGGGGTGGAGGATGCTCATGACTTGGGGTGAAGGGTGCCCATGGTGTGGACTAAGGCATGCGGCTCCCAGGCTGTGCTCCTGGAACGGACTTCAAAGCCGAAAGAGAGCCTGACAGAAGAGATGGACATCTCTCTTCTTTTAAGCTTTTCACCTGTATGCAAGCACTGCTGCAGCCACTCACATGCATGTCTTTTCCTTTTTCTCTCAGCTTGCTTCTGGAAATACTGTGTCACCAAATAAGGGGTACAGGAGGAGCTCTGCCCGCTGCCTGCCTGCCAGCTCGCTCCCTGCCACTGCTGTCCCAGTGCCTTCCAGCCGGCCTGTCCACTCGTGACCCCACACCTTGCTGTGTGCTGGTTTGCACAGAGTTTTGAGAGGTCTTTGGTCCCTTGTGGGGAAAAGGGGAGAGGGTTCGCAGCAGAGGAGGGGTGTCATGGGGTAGGGGGAGAGCCCCATGAGGATCCGGGGTAGAGGACAGTGTTTCTCCCATCCCAGTGGACCTCCAGGACCCATGGCAAAGCAGAGCTGCCACTGTGGCCTGGCAGGGACATGCTGGCTGCCAGCAGGAGCTGAATAAACCCCTCGCACTGGAGCAGCGTCCTGTGGTTACTCCATCCCCACAGTGTGTGGGGTCCCGCATTCTCCCACTGCTGCGTGCGTGGCGTGGGCAGTGCATGTGCCCAGGGGGGACATCTCTCCTCCAGGCAGGGCAGGAGCTGCCACAGGCATCCCAGTGATCCATGGCAGCAGAGACTGGGGGCTACAGCTTCATTTATGCTAAATCTCAAGAGGGTTTCCACTGCAGGGAAACCCCCTGCAGCACCCTCCATGCCCAGTGGCCTTGGCCCATGTGCTGACTGTACACAAGCAAGGCATATTAAAATATAGTTTATTGCTGTTCTCAGTTTAAAAAAACCCAAACTCATTAATAACAAAAACAGTCCCCAAACCCAGTGCTATCAGAGGCAGGCTTGCAAGGACACACCTTTTAGTGCAAAGAGGGAAGTGGCAGTGAGGGGCGGGAGGGGGTCTGCCGTTGCCGTGTCCCCACGAGACCCACCACGCTCACTGTACAGTATTTTTTTGTCTGCGGGGCTGGCTGGGGAGGGCTGGCTGAGTTCATAGGCACTGGCAGAAGCCCTTGGGGGAGCTGGAGGTATTGGATGGGGGAGGATGGGATGTCATGGCTGTGGAGAGCAGCTTTGACTCCTCTTGTGTCAGTGACACTGGACGGGAAGGCACAAGGCTGAGCCAGGGCACACCGAAGCTGCCCGTGTATCTCCTACAGACACAGCACTTTGCAAAGCAGCTTTTGCCTGCTCTCTTAGGCTGTCCAGTACTGGGGTGTGGAAACCAGATGGATGCCCTACCCCATGACTCCGTCTCCCAGTCAGGCACTTGAAGTATCGGTGGGGACTGGGAGCGGGTGGTGAAGCTGGAGCTGCACATGGCAGCATCTCCTGCAGTGCCCTGCAAGGCAGGAACAGGTTTCTTAGCTCACAGGAGCCAGGCGGGACCTTGCAGCCAGCAGCACGTGGCCCCAGGTGCTGGCACACATGGGAGGGATGCCCTGATCCTCAGCCCTCCATCCTCAGCCCTTTGCAAGTCCCCGTACCCCTCCTTCCCTCCAACTGCAGGTCCTGGCACTTTCACGCCAAGCATAATCCCCAGCATCTTCCTGCTCCCATGTCCTAAGGGGGAGTTAGACGCACATTACAGCTCTCTAGCAGTGAGAACAATTTGTCACTGCAATAAACTACCGGGGGCAGAGCCTTTCGGTGTCTTCAGATGGAGCCTGGATGCCTTGGTGGAAGAGAGGGCTTGCCCAAATGCAGGCTGCAAGGTGCTGTGCAGAAGGGCAACCAGGCAAATTCAAACAGCTCCAGCCCAGGTGATGTGCTGAGGTCCCGGGACACCCCTTCCCGAGCGTACAGGGTGTCTGGGACCACACGGGGCTGGCAGAGCAGATGCCAGCTCCAGCAGCGGATGGGGAGGCAGGGCTGGCCCAGCCGTTTCGGGGTGGGGGGGTGTCTCATCTCTTCCACCAAAATGCCGCTGCACAAGGCTAGCACTCGGCTTTTCCCATGACGTGTGGTCACAGGCCATGAGACCCATTTTCGGGGAGCAGGGATGCAGTTGCCACTGTAGCCACACAGGGACTGGTCCATACACGCGATCACCACTGACAGCACATGGGGGCTGCAGCCAGCCGACGGAGGAGGAGGAGGAGGAGGAGGAGGAGGGAGTGGCGATGGGCTGTGAAGCAAGGCACTATTTCTGCAAGGCGGGGGGTAGCGATGCCGTAAACCCCCTCCAGTCCCTCCTTTGGCTGGGATTTGTTTGCATCAGGACTGTGGAGGTGGAGGGCTCGGCCAGGAGCAGTGCCGCTGGCGCACACCACAGTGGGGTTAGGTCATCTTCCTGGCAACGCTGGCGTAGGTGTGCTCTATCTCCTCGTCCGCGGGACACGTGTGGCTGAACTCATCGCAGGCATAGGCGTTGTTGAGGTAGCGCCAGACGCCCGTCATGTCCTCTGGGATCTCGAAGTCGCGGTACTTTTTGGCTGCAATCTAGAGAAGAGAGGAGGAGGAGGCTGAGACTTCCCAGACCTTAGGAAGATTCGCTCTCTGGCTTGGCGGGGGACAAACACAGGACCCCCAGCCCCCTGTTTGCATCACCCCACTCTGTCACCCCCTCTTGGAGCGGGTGCCTCCGCCCTGGCCCTGGGAGCCGGTGCCATTACCTTGATAATATGCAGTTTGGGCAGCAGGTTGCAATCAGCCAACGTCAGGTGGTCTCCATCCAGGAATTTCCTCTTGGAGACAGTGATGTCCTCCATGCTGTCCTGGTCAATCTCCTCGGGGAGAGGAGTGTTCAGGTAGACATCCAGCCGGTGAAACTCCCGCAGCAGGGCCTTCTCAAAATCTGGGTGGTCAGGGAAACAAGTGCACTTAGCCTGGTGCCCTGGCTCCCAGCACAGCCCAGGGCTGTGCCGGGGGGGCTGAGCCTCTCCCAGGTTTTGTACACAGGGACAAAGCCCTCAGGGCCACACCGGTGGTGCACAGCACTGGGCCCTGAACAGAGTCTGTCCTCCCGGGGGACCCCAGCAGCACCACCCCACGCTGCCCTCCAGGACCCGCTCCCTGCAGCACCCGCACACAGGGCCATTAGCCCGGAGCAGCACAGGACTGCCTTCACCCCTCCTCCTCACCGCTCCTCCACTTGCCAAGGAGGATTTGGCGGGGAAGGCAGCAGGAACCCCAACCTGTTGGCAGGATTTGCCAGCAGACAAAAGCATCTCTCCTCCTGCCAACAGCGTGGCGGTTCACAGGCCCACAGCCCCCACCCGCATTTCTTACTGATATTTGCTTCCTTGCGTGGGTTCTTGATGTACGCCGAGAACTTGGCAAAGATGTCACTCCCCACATCGAAGGACTCCTTGTACTTGGGGCTCAGGTGTGGATACCTTTAAAGAGACACTCGTGTCAGTGCAGGCAAGGATGGAGGCAGAGCTTCAGCTGCGTGGTCCTCAGCTGCATTATTTCATGGGCCGTGGTGCCCAGGGCTGGTACTGGAGGATGCAGGTGATGTTCAGCTGGTTGTGGGAGAATGGTGATGCTTTAAATTACTGCAGCTGCCACCCTGGGATCTGTATTATCTTGGGTGTTTGCTAGGGGAAAATCACAGTGCAGAAATTCCACGGTTTGGGGATGCTGATGGCAGCAGAGCCATGGAGCAAAGCTCTGCCTGCAGGCAGCTCTGGCCCAGCCCGGAGGATGTTTGCTGGCACAGGAGGGGTCTGGGGAAGCCAGAAGCTCCCATGACTTCCTCAGGAACAGTCTCTTGTTTGCTGATGCATTCCAGGGCGCGCTGCAAGGGCAGACATATCCGAGGAGGCAGATGACGAATGCATTTGAAGCTTCCTCTTTTGCAGGCAGTGGGAGGGCTTACGGCCATGCAGGGCATGGGGCAGGCTGCTTGGTGGGCTGCGGGCAGTGCCCCGCATGAGCCCAGGGGGCCACCCCCCCCCCCAGGAGCCCTTTGGGCCAGCTGCGCTGCTGCATTCAAGCAAGGGCATTTACTTTTGCTCAGCTGAGCGCACTGGATACGAGCGGGCAAAGGGGGGGTCTCACGTTCCCCCTCTGCCTCAACACCAACTGCCACAGCCAGCTGCAAAACCACCAGCTCCCGGGGGGTCCCCGCACCTGCAGGGACCTCCCTGCACTCCCCCTCTCCCCCCCAGCCCTACCTGCGCCAAGGGAACGGTGCATTTCCTCCCACTGTTTTCCATCCTAGCCCGTCCCTGTCCCCTTGCAGACCAACCCGCCGCCTTCCCCGGGGGTCACAGCCCCTTGACATCGCAACCCCTGGCCCTGCAGAGCACGGCTCGGGGTGCTGGGTGGGGAGCCAGCCCCCTCCATGAGCTGCTCTCAGGCACCTCCTAGCACCCTGCCTCGGTTTCCCAATCTGCCGAGCACTACGCAATGCTGCAGCGTGCATGCTGGGACCCGAAAAGGGAAGGAGCGAGCTTGCAATTACGTGGGTGGGCCCAGGGTCTGCTCCAGGAACTCCTCGATCTTAATGAAGTCTGTTTTCAGCTCCTTGTTGAACAGCAAGAAGGGTGGGTTGGTGCCTGGCGCTAAATCTTTCAACTCTTCAGGTTTCCTGCAGTGGAGAAAATAAGTGGGCTCAGAGCCTGCAACCTGGCTGTACCCACCAGCCTCCCCGGGGCGAGCGGACAAGGCTGAGGTGGGCGTGTGGGAGGGGGCGCCGGACCGGCAGCATCCCCACTTGCATGCTCTGCTGGGTTTGGGGGGCTGGGAAGTGCCCCCCAGCCCCCTGGTCTGCCCTGTGGTGCCTCAGACTCATACCCGCATCCAGCCGGACAGGGGGTCCCTGTGCCGTGCAGGTGTTGGCACACGGCTGGAGTTCCGTGCTGGCACACCCCACTGCACCCCACGGCGTGATGGGCAGTGTGGGGGCAGGGACTGTCACCCCTGTCCCTCTCGCAGTGTCACGCTGGCTGCGGTGTGGAGGGAGGGAGGGAGGAAAGTGCTGGCAGGGGGAGCTGAGCCAGGGGTCTCTCGCCCCGCTGCTGGCACAGAGCTGGGCTGTGGTGCCATCTCACCTGGTCATGTCCACTGTGGTGACATTGAACTTGACCCCTTTGAGCCACAGCACCATGAAGAGGCGCTGGCAGAAGGGGCAGTTTCCGATGTTTTCTCCATCCAGACCAGCCTGCCAGGAAAGCAGAGAAAAGAGGATTTAACCCATGGGCTGGGCTCACCCAGCCCAGATGGGATGCCTGGAGGTGGAGAGCCACCAGAACCAGTCTCGGGAGGAAGGCACACGGAGTGCTTGGCCCGGTGCCCCAGCATTGCATACTGCAGGGAGCACCTCCCAGCACCAGGGGTTCACCTGTAGGATCCTCTCCCTGAGCTGTGGCCCTGCTGCCAATGGAAAGCATCGCAGAGCATCCTCAGGATGCCCGGAGTCAGATCCTTCCCAGAACTGTGAGATAAAGCTAGGAGGAAGAGGAGAAGGAGGCAGGGGAAGGAGGTGGAGGGTGATGGATGGGGAGGAAGGGAGGGTCCGCTTGGCTGGGAGGCGAGGCTGGAAAGGGCGGCGAGAAGGGAAATGTACTCATGTTTGCCAGGAAAAGAGCAGTTTGTTTTCATGTGCTGTTAGGGTCTGCCTCCAGTTTTGTATGCATTTAACGAACCCTGGCATGACTTCCCGGGCTGATGATGGCCAAGAACCACTCAAGCAGCCTCCTCGTCTCAGGGAGGAGAAGGGACTGGGGGCAGCAGGGCGGTGCAGAGGTGGATTTGTGCTGGCATTCCACTCAGCATTGGTGGGGAACGGAGCCACGTGTCAGCTCCTAAAGCTTCAATCATATGCAGACAGTCCCTTTTGACCCTTCTGCATGGACACAGCCGCGGCGTCTCAGCACTCAGGGGGCTGCTCTGTGACCAGGATGGGGTCAAACAGCAGTGGGGACATGGGGAAAGTGAGGAGCTTTGACAACCTGCCTGAGTCCCACCAGGACTCCCTCATCAGGATCTCACCCAGGTGATTCCCATTCAGCAATCACAAGGGAAAGCAGCAGCAGGTGGAGTGAAGCCCATTTCCTTGCTATGTAGCAGCTGAAAATACCCTTTGCAAAAAGGACTGAAAGTCCTTATGAGGCGTTTGGTCCAGAGGAATGGGGCAGGTTCCCCCCAGCGCATGAGAACTGGCAGAGATGCTGCTCAGAAAGGGAAGTGGCGCCGTGGTACGAGAGGTAAAATGGCTCACAGGAAACCGGTTCCTCAGCTGCAGACGAACCGTGGTCCTTCGGCATATGTGGCCATCCTGCCGCTGCAGGGAGGAGCAGCACGGCTTCTGCCAGCTCCTTCACGGAGGGATGCTGCTCCCATGGAGTGGCTTGTATTGGCACATGAGCCCCAGTGGGACAGCTCATGCCCCATGGCTCTGCGCTAAGCCTTGATATCAGCTGGTGAGCTGAAGTCCAGAGGATAAGCAGGAGGGCGATGAGATTTGGGAGGATTTGGTGGTGCAGAAGTCAAGTAGCAGCAATAACATCCAGGGTGGGAAGCTGGAAGCGGCTCCAGAGCTCACACCTCACTGGGGCCCCAAAGACGGGATGGCTGAGGATGCTTCATTAGCAGAAGATGCAGAGATCTGTGCCTGGCTCTCCTGGGCTGGAGGCAAGTGCTACGAGTCACCTGTCTGTATCTATGGGTCCCCAGAAACCTGTGGACTCTGGAGTGCTCAGCTTCTCCAGGAGAGATATACCAGCCTCAAACTCGCCCTAAGGGAGACAGTAATCTAATCAAAACAAAACCCTGACACTCCAAGTGGTCAGCTGGAGGTGATGGTCTGCTTTTCCACTATGCCAACACCTTTCAGTCCTTCCAGAGAAATGATAATTACTTTTAACCAATGTTTCCTGTGCCCAGCTGTCATGAAATGATGCTCCTGAGAAAGGAAATGGGAACTGAGAAATGTATTGATTGTCTGGGATATACCCAGAAGTGAAGCTGAATTCACACATGAGGCTTTTTGCTGGCTATTAATAAGAAATGCTTCTGGGTAGCTGCCACTCAGGAGTGTCCCATGTCACCTTGTGACAGATAAGGCTTCTTTGGTAACAGATAAAATTGTGTATCAGATGTCCTGTGAGGGAGCTGGAGGGGAGAGTCAGAAAACAGCCACGAGGGCTACCTGCTGGCATGAGAGCGGGGGATCTTTGCTCCCCTTCCCCTCTCCATCGTTGCTGGCACCTACAAGCCAAAACTAATGCCATCCTTTGGATCATCTCCAACGCCAACAGCTCAGAAGGTGCTTTTGCGGCTACCCAGCACGAGGACCGACGCTTTCCTCTGCTTTCCTGAGATGGCCCTTGCTGGTGGCAAGGGAGAGGGCAGCTGCGCTCCCCTTTGCTTTCCTTGCTCAGCACAAGGCTGGGAGTGAGAGGGCTTAACTGCAATTCATCTTGTTGGCCCCACGGGAGCTGTCATGCTGAGCCAAGGCAGCAAGTGGCTCTTTTGCGGCTACCCAGCACGAGGACCGACGCTTTCCTCTGCTTTCCTGAGATGGCCCTTGCTGGTGGCAAGGGAGAGGGCAGCTGCGCTCCCCTTTGCTTTCCTTGCTCAGCACAAGGCTGGGAGTGAGAGGGCTTAACTGCAATTCATCTTGTTGGCCCCACGGGAGCTGTCATGCTGAGCCAAGGCAGCAAGTGGCTCTGGTGGAGTCGCAGGAGGGGCAATGGTGGTGCTGGAGGGGACGGCTGGGGAGGTGGGATGTCCCTCGCTGGGGCTGCTCGGGGCTCAGGCTGTGCTTGCCTGCTTCAGGCTTCTCTGTCCTTGTCTTGTAGCTCCAGCCTCTGAGCAGCTCAGGCTGGTTTTCCCCCTTGTCATTTAAAAATAGAGAGTTGGGGAATTTTGGACCAGAGTGAAAAGAAAATCAGGATGGACTGTGCAGGGAAAAAAGATTAAGCCAGGCCCATCCTAGGATGCTTGGAGCCAAATCTTTATCTGGAGGAAGCAGAGGGCAGTTCCACCAGTGCTCAGCTGCTGGCAGGGCAGGGGCCACCGGGTTCTGGCATGGCCCTGCTGGCACCCATGCGGCCATGGGGAGAGCCCTCCAGGAGCCAGGGGAGTTCGGAAAGGGGTTTGGGGAGACTCACAGCCACACCCCCTCCCTCCCCAGCAAAAGCCAAGCAGCATGGCGGGGAGAGC